AGGGTCCTTTGGATAAGCATTTGAACTACGTAGTCAATAATTTTAAATAAATGTTCTAAACTATACTATATAGGCAGGTACTCTGGCAGGTATTAAGAAGAAGCTACAGTATTGTGTTTTATTTTTTAAAGCAGGAACATATGAGAACCAATCTCAAACATGCAGACCCAAGAAATGGCAATCCTTAGTTTTCTTCTTCAAATGAAGAGAACAGAACATAGACATCAGCTAGAGAAAGGACATACTGTACAGTACTTTCTCTGCAAGCAAACAATTAATGAGTAGAGTTGCTCTTGCATTATGAGCTAAGCCTCTATTTCAATATTAAAAGGCATTCCAGACTTAATGATTCTTTGCCCCATAGCTGATCAACATACAGTACAGTATATAAATAAGTTCTAATGTTGTTTCCCTGTATGTAATAATCAGTGTTACAGTATATGCACATTTATACTGTGTATTTAGAACAGTTAAGAAAGCATTTTAATGCCAAAAATAGCTATATGTGTCATTTCATGCAAACAAAAACACTGTTTTATTTATAGTAAAATTTAAGCAAGTAGGTCAGCCTGGAAAACAGCAATGTGGCTTTAGAACACTACAGAAAAGAGAATAAGGAGTATTCTAATTTGGGAAACCAAAAACTGGAGATGTTACATTAAATCAGATTTTCCTTTTTGACTCAATTTAACAATTGGTGTGATATACTGTAGGTTAACATTTCTTTGCTTTGCAGAATCTCTTATGCTGTAATGTTTCTTTGTTTAGTGAATAAATAAAAGTGATTTGTTTTCATAGATGGTGCAGATTTGATTAGGAAACAAAGTCTGACTTTCCAAGCTGTAATTTAAGTAAATGTTTCAAAAAGATCCCTTCAAATATTAATATACTCAGGAACTGCAATGCTACTGAATAAATCAAAAGTTTGAATTATTTTCACAGGCATTCATTTACTAATTTCATTTACTAATTACTAAGTTTGATGCTACTGTTGAGAAAACGTTTACTCAGTTAATAAAATTCAAAATAACTCATACAGTTTGAGTTATACAGTAAAACATACATTTTATATAAAGTTATATTGAGTTGTTATCATGGCAAAATTACAAAAATATGCTTTTGTTTTAAAGTTATTATTAAGTCAAGTTGAATTTTGGTGTTTCAAACTGGCTCTCTTAACACATCCATCTTTTATGACAAAGATAAAATTGTATTGAAAGCCATTTATACAAATATCCTTCAACAACTGTTTCTAAGATATTGCTGCAGGAAGCACAAATACATGAAATTCTTGTACATGTCACTTATTTTGGAGATCAGTTATTGCTTTTTTCATTATTTTGCAAAGACTAGAAACTTGAATTTTTGAATTGTTAGAGATGGTTACTACAAACACTATTTTTTAAAAAGGAAAATATTAATGTAAGATACTGTGTGTGCTTTAAAAGTTACTTTTTAAAACCAGTCAATAGTGTGATAATATAATTCTACACATGCCATGGAAAAAGTATACTGTATTTATCAAATAGCAATGCTCTATTGTGTATAAAATTTAAAACACAGCTTCTAACTATGACTTTCTCCAACCCTTCAGAAAGATTACTAGGCTTTATTTGGCTATAAAATGTGATAAATCACTTACTGTATGTTTTATAGATTCTGAGTTGGTTCATAGGGGAAAAAAGAAACAGCCCTGCTCAATAAGTAACTATTAGAAGGTTAAAGTATAGATTCATTTAATAATAAAAGTAAATTTAAAACAAAGGTGGGGATTGTAACCAATGCAAATTAAGAACACTAGATTTCCTCATGATAAGTATTGTAAATACATTCAATCTTAGCAAGAATGCACTTTTTGGCTGGCAAAACATTGTTTCTAATTTGATGTTGATATAACATACTGTACACGTAAATAAAAGACTCCGCAAATATTTGCTCCACCAAATCAATATTAAAACCGGCTTATCAGACTATGTTTTGAAATATTTTCTTGCAGGGATTTCCGAAAGTGATTATTGGAACAGTAAAATATTTTGTACGATTGTCCAATTTTCTTTGTTTTAATAAAGAAACAAACATGATGGAGTATATAACATAAGGAGACAGAATGATAAACACAGGTTTTGCCATTAGATGTACAAAAAAGTGTTACTGTATCTCTGTTTGAACTGGAAAATGATGTATGCTAGCTATGATTTGTCTTATTTTCATGCTTGAAATTCTGCTCATCAATGTAATGATGGATGTTGTTGTTGTTGTTGTTGTTGTTATTATTATTATAATTATTATCCAATATTATAAAATTGCTGTTGCATCATTATATACTACTATTTTCATGTATATTGTCGAAAGAGAGTAAGACATTCTAGGAAAAAAAGACCAGACCTTTTTGTTTTCAGCGGAAAACAAATATTAAACTAAAAAAAACTAATAATCCAAAGACCTGAAATGTGTTAAAATACATTTCTTTTTTAATTTGAAACAAGAAGTAGTGCAATATTACCACTTTTGTTCTTGTCACAACTGTTTTACCTTCATCAGAATATATCTGAAAACTGTAATTCAAGGCAAATAAGATGTAGTGAATTTGAAAACAACATTACATGTGGGGATACTGTTTCTTTAACACTTGCTTAGAACAGCAAAGCCAAGCCATTATATACACTTCGATACCAATTTTTAACCAAGGAAGGCCCTGCCATTCTTTTATTTAAAAAAGAAAAAAAATACATTGAAATATTTACTGTATAACCGTCTTAGTCCAAGCATTCCAAAAATAGACTTCCAGTTCATGCAGGTAGCTGCTGCACAGAATTATAAATAAAGAAGAAAATAAATATAAAAAATAAATACTAAAAAAGTTAAGGTTAATTCCAACAATTTACATGTTGTTTTGATATAAAGGCCATTATCCACAGTAATGCATTAGTATATTCATTTTTTAGAGGGGAAGGGTAATGTTTTTTTTAAAAAAAACAGAATGAATCATACTTTCTCCTGCAGGCACCTACAATATTTTAAATAAAGTACAGATGATCAAAATGATTGAAAAAAACAGAAAGAATTTAAGAATTGGCACTAAGAGTTTTACAGTAGGAAGAGGAGATGATTGCTTACTGTGGATAAACCTTTATCTACAGAGCTATTCAATCAGAGGGTTATCACTTCCAGTTTGTTCAATCACTCAAAGGGGGACCCATTAAAGTGTTTACTCCAAAATTACATTAGCACCATTTTTAATTCTAGTTATTGAAAAAATATCCGGAAGTCAAGAAACATCATGTAAAAGCAATAATTTAATTTTAATACAGCAACATTCTCCCTTTTCTGTTTTTTAATGAGCATTTTATAAACTTTTTTATTATTTATGAAGATCAAAAAATGTTGTCCTTGTCAATTTTGGAGTAAACGGTTTAGTGAATTCTTCCCCCAGGGTGTTGTACGTTACTTGGGAATGAAACAAGACTTATACATTACAAATAAATTAAGCTTTTTATGAGCAATTCTGTAAAACTGTCATTCACCTCCCTACAGGATATACTAAATGTTAAGTCATTAAAGAATACCGGTAGTTGTATAGTATTTGAAATATTTTGATTAGATTTTCAGTATCTCCTTTAATAAAACAGTTAATAAACTAGTATTTATACCTAGTATAAAGTATTACTTTATAGGTTTAAATGTTGGCAATAGGTAAAGTAAGTATTTTTAATTCTCAGCAAACAGGAATACAAGAACTTTTGGTTAAATATTATGGTTTGATTACGTTACTTTAAACTTTTCGCTATATTATTTTATTGCAATTCATCCTTCTAATAATAGTCAAGACGTTTTGCACACCTACAGTATGCACACAGTACATACTGATGCTAATGTAAAAATAATCTATAGAATAGGATTTATAAAACTGGGAAGTTCCAGATCATTTATAAAAATGTAAGGAGGGAGGGAAAAGGCACATACAGTATACTGTAGTAGTTTCATAACGTACCTTACCTGTATACAAAATATAGTCATGAACAAGTAGGCTTGTGTTTGCAGAAATAGTTGTCCAAATGACAAACACAGAATTCCAACAACTTTTTGATGGGTGATAAAAGTAGATGTTTCATATTGATTTTCATTTAATCACCACCTTCTTAGTTTCTCTGTGCTGTAAAAATGTCATTTCTCCTTGTTTGCATCCCAGTGTAAGCCACTGTTCACAGCTATATATTTATAAAGAATGATACAGACATAAATCGTACCTACAGTATCAACAAAATATCCTTCCCCCATTCTTCTGTAAATTGCAGAATTGCTCATAAAGTCTTTGAGATTAAGTCTTCTGTTCTCATATAGTCTTTGTAACATGGAGAATGATTGTTTAATGTCCTGCTGTGCTAATAAGCTTGCCCAATCTACACTGTTCCACCTGGATGCTTCCCTTAACAAGATGATGCATCTCAATGAGCTTTTCCTGGGAAAATCTGTATTGTTAAAAAAATAAATTAATTTTTATACATTGATTTTGCAGATGGGAGAGTTCAATACACTGTGATTTGTAAATGCAAGACCTCCTCACCCCCACCCAATGTAAATTGTATTGGGGAGGTTTAGAAAACAAACATCTATCCAATCTGAACCTGAGAGCAAATGTTTATAAACCCCATGACAACTCATACGTTTGTTGACAAACAATTAAGACTTTTAATAAAAAGTAGCAAAATCAAAGTAAAACAGTTCCCATTCTGGTTAATTGTTGGAATTATTTAAAATGTCAAAATAAACATAATACTAAAAATTCATTTCAAGATTATTTGCTTGTAATATTTAATTTCATTGCTAGATTACTATTATTTTTTGTTACTCAATATGCATACCAGTTTTACAAAGTGCATGCGTTTATTAACTTTTTTCTAACTGGCAAGCTAAAAAAAATCTCTGCTGCCCCCTTTTCCATTTTCATATTTTACACAATCTATAATCAAACAAAAATATATATATATATATTTATATATAACCTGCTTTTACAAAATAAAATTTAAAAATCAAATGAAATCAAATAACCATGGCACACCCATTATATGACTGCTTTTAATGCGCATGCTCTGATTGGCAACAAGATTTTGGCTTTTTAAGTCTTTATTATGATGTTTTCTTTTAATATCTAAGCAACCAGTTTCCTTTGTCTAAATATAATTGCTTATAGAAAATAATACCTGATGCTCTTAAAATATTTTTATCTGTTTAACTGTGGCACTGAAATCGCACATAATTGCGATCTATTCAAGTTAAGGTTAAACAGGCATACTCCCTTTTGTAATAATTATTTCCCAATGCTTTCCCCAAGCTTCAGTGTGCAACATTTGGTATGATACCAAGGTAAAGAGATTTAATTGTAACCCACCCAAAACAGGGGAGCAAAGGGAAGGGCTGAGTAAGTAAGGCGCATTTTGTTTTCAAATTCACCATTCCTCTGGAAAATTAAGTATCCATGCTTCATGCTTTGTTTCCCCAAGAACGCCAAAGTTGACCATTTTATTGTTCATCTGAAAGTTGCTCTTATCTTCCAGCTGTCCATTTTTGGACTGAGGAAACGGAAACCCAGAATGAAAGAGAAAAACGCTAAGAAGAGGTGGGAGGAGGGGAATTTAGAAACTAGTGATGAAAGAAAAGACTAAGGAGTACTGTACGCTCAAATTGATTTCCTTCTTTTCATTAATCGGTGATTGTCTGTGAAACTATGGAGGCCAGGGGAGACTGAACTGATGGGAGAGGGGAAAAGGCTATTTTTCAAGGTGCTCGGTGAGATTTCCTCAATCTTGTACGAGACAGAGTGAAAGTACTGGGGGTTCAGCTGTGAGCTGAAAGAGTTCTGGTGGGAAACCACACGGCTGGTAAACTCATGAGACCGGTAGCACATGCACGAGCAGACGGACTGCAGATCCGTCACCTCTGCTTTGTAACGCTGCCGTCCGTGCTGGGAGTCCTCCTGGATGTGGATGATCATGCTGTTGCGGTTGCCTGCCAAGGATGCCCGCTCCTCGGCATCCCGCCTCTCGTCTTCACTGTTCATGGTCAGGAAGCGGAGAACCACGAGATTGAGGAAGGCCCCGATGACCGTCAGCCCAACCAGGATGTACATGAAACTGAATGCCACGTACAGGGGCTTCCTTTGGAGTGCTCTGTTCTTTTGCAAAGCCACAAAATCCCCAAAGCCTATAGTAGTCAATGTGATGAAACAGTAGTAGTAGGACTGAAAGAAGCTCCACTCCTCGTAGTGGGAGAATGCCGCAGCTCCAATGCAAAGGGTGCCGATGCAGGAGAAGAAGCCCACCGTCACCATGTTCTCCATGGAAACCTCGGTACTTCTCATGCCGCAGCACTTCTTGATCCGTTTCAGAAGGTACTTGACGAAGGTGTTCATGCGCTCACCAAGGCTCTGGAACATCACCAGAGTAAGAGGAATTCCCAGCACTGCATAGAACATGCAGAAGGCCTTACCAGCATCTGTACCAGGTGCTGCATGCCCATAACCTGTGGGGAAAACAACACACAAGAAAGTATTAATGACTTACACTTAACTGATACTAATAGATGTCAATTGGTTATTGAATACTTCCTAAAGAGTCTTTGTTCTCTGTTACCAACATTTTATATGATGTATTTTGCAGCTGTTCTCTTTTTCTTGGTGTGTTAGAGCACAATCCAAAACAAATATTTTGGGGGGAGGGTTCCGGACCCACAACTGGAAAGTAAAATCCTCAGCTGTATAAAGGGATGCAAAGGTAAGTTGGTTTGGCTAAAAGCTTCAGTTACATACTGTACATACTGTATATATTTTACTTTGTATTTAACATGGTTCCTTTGAATATACAGAAATTCTCACTGCAGTTTGTTTACAAACATATCCTACCGTTAATTCCAAGTAAGGCATTTGTTCTAAGAACCTTCCATGACTACCAACATGAATTTGGAATGGAATTCTGAAAAGAAAATCAGATGCCTAATTTATCTTATTAGGGATGAAAAAATTATTTAGATGTTCAATCAATCAGATCTTTCCTCTCTTGGTCTTTGTGAGGGGGTGAGAACTTAGGAATTATTGATAAAAGTGTGCAGCGTAAAAGCCCATGAAGCTTTTAGCTTAATTAGAGATTCTTTTCAGGGCTGTGTTCCAGCCCATGGACTATTCTGAAGAAAGGACCCCTCCTAGGCTGAAATTGCTGAGTCTGCCGGAAAATTTCTTTTAAATTTTTATTAACAGCTTTTACTGGACACGATGCTGAGGTAATAAAAATAAACATTTACAAGTGGTGGAAGTCTTGTGTTTTATTTATACTGTATCTGTGCATTCCAAGACAACCTTTTGGCACTATTTCCCTCCTTCTTTGACAAAAGCACACAAACACATTTTGTTTATTTCTATTTGATTGCAAAAATATTTGCAGAGCTGAACTCATCAATTTCATTTCCTTTTGGCTTTCAAAAGGCTCACCATATGGCTGAATGGGGCATTTTAATTCCAGTCATTCTTCCTCTATGACACCTTAGAAATTGAGAAAGCAGTGTACCCACAGCCCAGTTATCTTTGTTAACAGAGATGCCTGTTATCCTTATTCTAATACTACAGCCTCTTGTCCTTGGTATTACGCCTCTATAGCCCTGAAAAAAAATAGATCCATGCAGTATCTTTCATACCCTTTGAATACACCTGTCTGAACTTTGAAACAGTAAATCTATGCCACATTACTCCTGTACCTTCTTTAGATACAAACCTTCCCTTTTCTCTTTTTTATGTACATAAATCTTTCAATTATCTTACTCTTCTGGACATCCCTATTTATTTCTGAGCCTGTACCAAAGTCTCATGGTCTGTTACAAGAACTAGTGTGGCAAGAAATTACTAATAGGTTTCAAAGTGAGCTTTTAAGAGAAATACGAGAAAAAAAAATACTTCTTCCAGAAGAAAAACAGTATCAGAAAATCCGTATCAGTTTGTAAAGCAAACCAATGTTGTTGCTTTAAGCATTGTTGGTGAATTCATAGATGGAAGGCATCACTCAAGACCAGAATGCCCTTACTGTGCTGTAAGGGGAGTCCTTCAGATGAGAGTTTAATCTGTGCCCCGATTATTTAATCATTAAATATTCCATGGCACTATTAATAAGAGTAAGAATGTTATTACTGAGTAATCTAATTAGTATACCTAGAATAAGATGCCCCCTCCACCCTTATTTCAATTGGGGGGATCAATTGGTTTTCAACAAAATTTCTGACTTCTCTGTATCATCTGCTTCATAGTGGGTATGCAGGTACCTGTACATAAAAGTTGTTGCCACCCACCCAAGTTGGTATTGTATCTCCTAGGTTGATGAAGTAAACCTTGTCTTATACTGTATGTAAAGAACTTTAGCATCCTTTGAGATAAGAAGTATTATAATAATGCAATTAATCAATCTTTACACAGAACATGCCCAGTTTTTACTTACAGTATATACACATACAGTATGCATTCACTTTACAAGGAACGTCTCAAATTACCAGTTTATGGTGTGTGTTATGCAGTCACTATGAATTAGGGGGATGAATGTTAGTTCTTGATGTTTCACACCATGAAAGAATATTTTAAGAGATTAATTATGTCTCAAAATTAATGTATACAAAAGTTGGAAGTCAATTTTGGAGTTGGAGTCTTCCCCTCAGTATGGTATGAAATGGTAAGGAGGATTGAGGAATGATCTGGACTGCAACTGTAAATGTTCTACAAAAAGTACAGAGTTGGCAAGCAAGTTGGGTATCAAACCTGGATTATTCATTTGTGTCAGGAGCTAAAAGTCTTGCACATTAATTCACCTGTCTACCCCTTTTCCACCCACAACCTACTATTTCTGTCAGCAGTTTGAGGATCATCTATCATTTGTATTTTAATCTGACTTCCCCTACTGATTTTTAGGTTTTAAAGTAGCAAAGCCTTAGATGGTACTGTGTTTAAATGCTTCTTTTCACTTTTTTATACCCTGATATTAAAATGACTTCAAAATAGAGAAGGTTTTCAGTTGACATAACATTTTGTTCTAGAATTTTAAGCTTGCTTTTGCTCGGCAGATTAACCAGAGCTGTTTTAGAAATATACTCAGTGTATGATGTAATTACAGAACTCCCAGATCCCTTAAAATAGACTTAGGCTTGAAGAGTTGAACACATAAATGGAAAATGTGATTGTTTTTGTCTAGCTTTATGTCATCACGTCAAAGTTTTTTTTTCTTTGCAGTAAATCTGCATTCCAACACTTTTAAAAGCCATCCAGTTTTCCCAAACTACTGTAGCTACTTGACAAGTCAATGAAAATGTTTGCTTACTATAAATTTGGTAAGTACACCTGTTTGCAGCATGTTAGGAATAGTTACAAAACCATGTGTTTCCTATAACTATGTTACTTCATAACATTATTATATACTTATATTTAGACCCATCATTATTTTATGACTCCCCAGCACTTTAGTTTTAATAATATGATCAGCATTATTAACTTGCATTAAATATACGTTCTGAACTCTTAGTGCATGTAACTGCATATTCTAGTATCACATACTGTAGATGGTGGTTCTGTAAGTAATGTGTCTTTATTTTTACGTTTGTTTCATACTGTAGCTTGCTGTAAGGCAGAGTAGCCAGAGAAACATTTTAGATTCCTTCAATATGAAGGTCAGTAGCTACAGTATTTGATTGAAAGTGTTTTTTAAGTACATTTCTTTCTTTTCTAAATCATGAAATGACTGGATGGGTACAATGTGTTAGGCAGCTGAAATTGTCAATTAGCTGATAATGCAGAGTCAGAGATGATGCCAGTCTTTAAGAGATTTTGACAGTCCACTGTACAGTAGCTCAAATCCACGATGCTAAAACTAACTGCAGTTGAGCAGAAACAATATAAATGCTTAAAACAATTAATTAAGAAGGTATTAATGTTAGAAATAAGTTTTTATACAAGCTGACTTTTTATGTAACTGTAAATTGAGAAAATAGGAAGAACGATTGCAAAGTTTACTTTTTGAAGATAGTGTACTACTGTACTTTTGGTTATGATGGTGAAAATATATATCTTTTCAGTATATATTTATGTGTTCATTTATTTCACCTCACTGCTCTGCCTTTAATCAATGCATAACCTGCAGTTCAGTGACAAGATACAATAACAGAAGTACAGATAAATTTAATGTGATGGCAGTAATCTCTTGACTGTTGATATAAATATATATAATTGCTTGCAATTCTCTAATGTACTAGGTCTAGATTTCTCTAAAAAAGTAAAATCCTGTTCTGCTACAAAATATTCCACTTAGCTGATATGTTTTGCACAATATTTCTTGGAATAATTGCTCAACATTTCTCAAATAGTTGTATATGTTATATAAAACAGTTTATTTTAATAATATTTAGAAAGGATAAACGTGTTTCATTCTGCTGTATCACAATATTTTATTGTTTGCTTCACAGTACTTTGGAACAGTCAATACAATGTCCATTACCTTAATACCAGGCTTTGTTGTTGTTTGATGAGTGGGATACATGGATTGTAGCACATGCCAAAGTTTGCTGCTACATCTATGTGAACACTGCCAGCATTTCTATCCTTTCTGGATCATATCTTCAGAGAGTCAAACACAGCAATTAGTAAAATTAAAATGCTAAATGTGGTCGTACTATACACATCAGAATTCTACAGCAGAACACACTACAGTACATGAATTTCCAAGAGACACACCAAACTTGTAAAAGTCTTTTCTTTATACAGTACATAAATAAGAAAGTTTGTCTGAAATGCCCTGAAAATACTTTTTAAACATTTAAACATGCATATACTGTAGCATATTTTATTTTGTACGCTGCAGTTCAACCTAAATTGAAAATTAGATACAATATGCAACATGTTTTAAAGATGGTAGAGTTGTTAGAATATTCCTATTATGTTTTTTTCTTAGATTTTGATTAGATTTCATCCAAACAACTTTGCCTCCTTTCAGGACAACCTACAGTACAACATTTCAGTTGTATTTAGGTCAGTTGCCTAGACTAACATCTTCAGAAAGACAATTATGCAAAGCACTCATTGGATTGGCTGTGTACATAAGTCTGCAGCTACTAGGTATCATCACTAAGCATCACTAAACACATACATTAGTTGGATTTAAGTTATTGTTTTAATCAATCACACAAGGGATACAAGGGTTTCTGATGAGATAAAGCAATTATCAAAAAAGTGATACCAGCATCATGCTTAAATTCAGGTAAAATTACTGTTGAAATAATTTAGTTTTCCCTCACAAAACCATGGAATGTGGTTAAAGAAGTTACCAAGCTACATTTTTGCAATTTGAATTGACATAGGTTGAACATTAACTTTCTTTTAGTTTAAAAACACAACAATAAAAGACAACATCCACAAAAAAAGGAGCTCGTAAAACATGGGGAAATGTATCTAGAGAGAAGAAAAGCTCTGACCATGCTGTCACAGTTTTTTCACTAGCATAATG